ATAAACATAGGAAAGTATGTCTGATACATCTACTATGTTTCCCATTCCCCAGCCTCCTGGACCCTTCCCTTCATTCCAATTTGTGTGCCCCTTTATTGTGTGTTAGCATCCACATATCAGAGAAAACATTCATAGAAGGCAAATAAACCTTTTAAATCTTTTTAAAAGAAATATGGGTAATATCAATCATCGGGAAGTTTCTGGTAACAGGTATCTATAGCATACAGGCTTGAGCCTTAGCTTTACAAATGGTATCTAGAAATGACACTGCCTACTTAACATTTTTGCCAAAAATCTGGACATGTGTAAAACAGAGGACGTGATCAATTTTGTGCAATATTCCAACTAAAAAAGACAGTGAATTCACTGGATCAAAATTCAAAATAGGCCAATTAAATTTAAATTAAATAAGTTAAATTCATATATTTCTATGACAAAGAGAAAAATTCACAAGTAACTAGATATGAATAGAGTATTAGACAAAAATAACTAGTTAAAAAGTATGGCATGACTGAAATAAACCAATGTGAACTAAAACTAATTTTGAAAGGATATAGTGTGAGTCAAATGAGAAATCTCTACTGAAGGCTCATTTTAAAAAAAAAACCCTGCCAGGCATGTTGGTGCACACCTGTAATCTCAGCAGCTCAGGAGCTGAGGCAGGAGAATGTCAAGTTCAAAGCCAGCCTCAGCAAAAGTGAAGTGCTAAGCAACTCAGGGAAACCCCGTCTCTAAATAAAATACAAAATAGGGACGGGGATGTGGCTCAGTGATGGAGTGCCCCCAAGTTCAATTCCAGTACTCCCCCTCATCCCCACACCCCCACAAAAAGCAAACAAAACAAGGCTGGGTGCTGAGAGCCATAGCCAAGTAGGAATGAAGCATGGCATTTTTGGTTGAAAGGTGACGCCAGCAGAACATTGAGATGATAATGATTATATTAAGATGTGCATTAATTGGAGATTAGACCCCTGCTGTCCACCTTGGCCTGCTAATCTTTGAGGTCCTGTCTCAGGATCCCATCTATCAGCTGCGGGGGTTGGGGGCCCCATAGGATATGCTGTCTCTATAGGTGGAGCAGTTGGTTGGACACTTACGCCCTCTGGTGATAGAAAGGTGTTAGTAGCAGCCTCCTGTTGTAGCTTTTTCCCTAACAGCTCCTTTTCCTTTAAATTTTCTTCCTCTGTCTGACTAGACCTTCTCTTTTGCTTGATCTAATAAAATGTCTTTCTCCATGGTCTGAACCTCTAACAATTTACTTAACACTCTTTTGGTTTGTTTTTTACTAATTTGTAATCTACTATAAAGATAACGCAACCCAACAAGATAACACAAAAGAAAACCGAAACAGAATGAAACAAAAACGGAACAAAAAATCATTGTATCAATTTTCCTATTTTCTTGAAATGTATTTTCATGGTCTATCTCTATCTCTTTCTCAGGGCCGAACAACTTCAAACCTTGAGCCAACCATTTTTCCCATTTTGCCTGAGAAAGTTCTAGGGATAGGCAGCTTGAAACAAAAACAAAATAAATCAAAACAAGAACACATTGTTTTTTGAAATGGTCACCCATTCTCTCGCTCTCAGGGGAGAGCAATTTCACTTACCCCCAAGATTCAGGCGTTCCCTGTACGGGCCACCAAATGCCACAGTCTGGCTGGGCACAAAATCACGAGCCACTCAAGCAGGAACAAACTTTATTTCCAAAACTCCTGCGAACGCCAAGCACACACCAAGCACACACCGCACCAGAAATTCCTCCTAGCACACTTCCCCAACCAATGGGAACTCTCCAGGAGTCCCATGAGAGCTCCAAAGTAGCAGGCCCCAGGGGTCTTATTATCTCCAATTGAATGCACATCTTAACATAATCATTATCATCTCAACGGCTTGCTGGTGTCACCTTTCAACCAAAAATGCCATGCGTCATTCCTACTTGGTATGGCTCTCAGCAGCTGGGAATGTGGCTCAGTGGTTGAGTACCCCCAAGTTCATTTCCAGGTACCCACACACAAAGAAGCAAACTCTTACCTTCCAAAAATTATTATGTACACTAATGTACTTCAAAAGGGATATGAATAGATTGACCAAATGTCTCAAAACCAAGCCATGCAGAAAAGCCAGGAAAAAGAAGCAATTAGAGAAGAGAAAAATCAAAATGTGAAGGTAATCATCAATCAATGGAAGAATTTCTGATTAAGAAGCAAAAATGTTTTATTATGGTCCAAAGGGACTATAGAGAGGTTTTTTT